GGCACGTGTCCTCATTTCCGTCCGGGTGGATCTTTCCGAGCGCTTTCCGTTCACTTCACTACAGCTCACCGCTTCACCGCCTCACTCTTTATCCGGAGTAAAGATGCTCCCCAGCCCCGTCAGCTCGACCCCGTTCTCGGTGAAGGACATCCTGAAGCTGGAGCAGCAGCAGCAGCAGCAGCAGGCTGGATCCTCTCTGCACCTTCCCTGCATGCACAGCGCGCTCAGCCGCAGCCTGGAACTGCTCTACAGCCCGGACTGCTCGAGCTTCAGCCCCGCGGAGCACAGCAGAGCGCAGAGAGGAGCGCCGAGCCCGCCGAGCCCCGAGGAGGAGGAGAGAGAGCAGAGCCCCCACACAGGCAAGCAGCGCTCAGTCAGCCCCTCACAGCGCAGGAGGACGACGTTGTATTACCGCTACAGCGTTTCTATTGGTCCACTCAGAATATATAACTCATCATATTCAAACAGTGTAAACCTGCGCTTTGAATGATGGGAAAACTGTAAAAATGGAAAAACATTGGAGGAATGCGTTTCTCTAATGACAGCGACACGAGCACTAATTAGGCTTTACCATTAATAACTAATTACAATAACAATACTACTACTACTACTACTACTACTACTACTAATAATAATAATAATAATAATAATAATTAGATTTTAATTGTGGTTTACCAGTAGAATATTAATAGTTTATTAATAAAGTATTAATTCTGCTTTACAAGTAATGAAATGTTCATTATGGTTATTAGTGGAATATTTATAGGTCATTAATGATGCATTAATCATACTTTACAATTAATAAGGTTTTAACTATGGTTTCCCGGCTCATTAATGAGGTAATTTTTGGTTAATATTTATAAGTTATTAGTAAGGTATTAACTATTAATTATGGCTTATCATTAAGGTATCATTTATGCGTTATTAATAATCCATTAATGTGGTTTACCTTCATGATGTTATGGATTGTTAATAAAGTATTAATATGGCTTATTTTAGGGTGCTATTTATGGGTTATTAATAAGATATGGTTTATCATTAGGGTATTATGGGTTATTAGTAAGGTATTAATTTGATTTACCTTTATGGTGTTGTGGGTCATTTATAAAGGATTAAGGTTGATTATTGTTATGTTGGTATTTATGTGTTATTAATAAGAAATTAAATATGGTTTACGATTATGCTATCAGTTAGATGTTATTAAAAAGTTATTAATTGTGGTTTATATTAGGGTATTATTAATGCATTAATGTCAAAGGATATTGCTTATGTGTTATTATATAGTGAGCGTATTATTTATTGTTTTCCATTATTATGCATGGGCTATTAATACGTTTTTGGTTATGGTTTACTATTAGAGTATTATTTATGGATTATTAATAGAGTACCATCGATGATTTATTATTAGAATATTTGTTGTGGCTTATTAATGGGGTGTTATTATTATTTATTATTCGTCATTAGGGTATTATTTATGGATTCTTAATAGGTTGTTATTTATTATTTATCAGCAGGGTATTACTGTTGGGTGTTATGCATGATATCTCAGTAGAGTGTTTTGACTTAGTAGAGTATTATTTATGGGTATAAATAATAGGGTATTGTTAGGACTATGAGTTATCATTGGCCTCATTAATATTATTATAAAGCATTAGCATTGTTATTTTATTTTATTTTAAGTTCGTTCTATAGGTTAGGAGCGTATAGATGATCATTAGGATAGTGCTTTGTGTGTTGTCGTTAGTGTGTTATTACAGGATATCACTGGGGTCTATCATTAGTCTGTTATTTTCTCTTTTGTCAAATGCAGATAAGGTTAATTAAACGTTTCCATTGAGGCGCGTTTGTCCATCAGTGCACCATAAAATCTATCAAGCCCTAATAGCAACGTGGAATCAGGTAATGTGGGACGGGGGTCTTAGACCCTGAATGTTCCCTCAGCGCTCTTGTTGGGTTCAGGTAATAAGAGATACTTTAAGAAACTCGTTTTATCCCAGTTCAGATGATGCCGAGTGTATTCAATCTAAATGAGCTCTATCTAAAAAACAGTGTAAATGGCTCATTAAATAAGGTCAAAGCAACCATTAGCAGGAACCAGAGAAAAACAATGGACACTGCAGATATATAACAGTCCACCGACTGCACGCGCTTCAGTCAGCTCAGTAGGTCACTTTACAGGTAAAACATCTTACGGAGCAGTGATTAAACAGACATACACGTTTACATGGAGAAATTTATTTTGGTATCAATAAAAACTTTAACACTGTATTGATTTTCTTCGGTATTAAATGCGTAATAGTCTCTCATTCACTGGGACCTGATGTGCCTTTGCGTAGTAAACATGGTCTCGTTTTGGCCTCCATAATGTCATTTTATATTCTACCCAATCAGCCCAAAAAAACGATCAGGACTTCGTCTCAGCTTCGTCTTTGATCCAAAGCTATACAGCACCGACAGCGAGAGCACGATTACGATCATAACGCTGTCGTCGGAGGAAAACGTCGTATCTCCATTTTTGTTGTTTTTCAGTTTTTGACATAGTTTGAAAATACCTGTTACCCTTTACATTGTTTGTAAATGTCATGATAAATGGACCAAAAGAAACGGCCCAAAATGACTTGGAAATACGTCTGGTTCCATTGACTTATATTAAAAGTATGTTTTTTCCTTCTCCTGTAAAGTTGTCGTTTTGGAGATATGAGGTTTTATTCCGACAACAGCGATAACAGACAGTAAAGCCTCTCTAGTGCAACACGAGCTCATGCGGTTGAATTACTACTCTCTTAAAAAAGATGGTTCTTCAAAAGTTCTTTGATAAATTCAATGGTTCTATATAGAACGATTAACACTCAAAAACCACGCACGTGTTTAAATGGTTCCTTGCATGGTGAAAGGGTTCTTCAGATTGACGAAGAAAGTGTTGTTAAAGTTTATATAGCACTAAAATGGTTCTGCTGTTGTTACGACGTCAAGCTTCACACTTAAAAATGATGGTTCTTCAAGGTTTCTTTAGTAAAGAAAACGGTTTACTCAAAGAGCCCCTTGCATGATTATATGGTTCTTTGCATGATGAAAGGTTCTCTGGATTGACAGATAATGTGCTGTATATGGTTCTATATCGCATCTTTTTGAAAATGGTTCTTCTATTGTAAAGCTTGACATCATAACAATAGAAGAACCTTTTTGGCGTTATAGGGGACCCTTTCAAAAATGTTCTACATAGAACCATCTACAGCACATTCTCCATCAATCTGGGGAACGATTTTAACATGCAAACGACTGTTTCAGCATGCAAATGTTTTCTGTGTGTGTTCGTGGTTCTACATAAGACCACTTTACTAACGAACCCTTGAAATTTTTTAAAGAGTGTACTTACAGTGTTTAGATAATGTGTGTATGAATATATATGAACAGATGTGTAGTAACCCACTGATTCTTCTATAGATTCATTCTGATGGATCAGTATTTTTTAACCATAATCTTTGTACTCAACTCCATCTGACCCTTCACATCTCCTTCCTCGCTCCGTTTGGGTTTGAGTTCTTAATTCTGTTGTTCTCACATTTGAATTGTAATGAGTTCTTAAAGTTTTGCAGCTCTAAAATTTTTTGTTTTTGTTTTATTATCTGATTTTATTTCCACTTTACTTTTTTGGTTGCTTCTTTTATTTCTCCAGTTCACTGAAGGATCAGTGCTTTATTTGTATTGAGTAGGTTGAGGCTCCTTTACCCACCCATAACACTAATGAATCAGGGCTTATCCAGCACTTCCGGTTAATCCAGCACGGGGACTTTTGCTGTGCAGTTCATAAATGACTTTTTAGTTTAATGTATCACAAATAGTATAAGAGCATAAACAAGAATGTGAGTTAACTGTAGCCTTCTGTAAATTACAATTACTGTTTGTAATTAATGTAACTAGTGGTATAAGCTCGTATACGAGTTCATCCAACACTGCACGAGTTAGGCTTAATCCTTGCCTGGGAGATTCAACTGTTGATGGAACAAAATTGAAACCTTTCAGTGCAGTTTATTTGGGTTTTATTGGCAAGAAATTCTCTTTGGATCAACACAAACAGTTTTTTTTACTATTTAAAATGTATTTTCAGCAATTTTCGCCCAATTTTGTGTAAAATGGTTCCATATAAAACTCATAGTTTTATATGGAACCATTTTCTTTACTAAAGAACCCTTGAAGAACCATCTTTTTTAAGAGTGTATATAGAACTATGAACACTCAAATAACAGTTGGCATGTTTAAATGGTTCTTTGCATGGTGAAATGCTTCCTGATATAGAATGTGCTGTATTTGGTTCTCCGTAGAACCTTTTAGAAAAGGGTTCTATATAACATGCAAATGGCTCTTTGGGTGTTCGTGGCTCTATAGACCCACTGTCGTTACTAAAGAACCCTTGAAGAAGAGTGTACAGTAACATTCATCACAGTTTTCTACAGTTGGTGTCTAATTGTTATTAGAGTCAGTTAACTGTGTAACAGTTAATCCTACAATACGAGTTTCTCCTCCTTTTCTAATCCAGGCGCGTGCGAGTTCGACCCGTCCAGCTGTGCCGTGCGCAAGGTGGAGGAAGACGAGGAGGGCGGCGGGGGTCCCGAGGGCCGCGCCAGGCCGCGCGTGCGCAGGAGGCCGCGGGTGCTCTTCAGCCAGGCGCAGGTGCTGGAGCTCGAGAGGCGCTTCGAGCAGCAGCGCTACGTGTCTGCGCCGGAGCGCGAGCAGCTCGCGAGCCTGCTCAAGCTCACCTCCACGCAGGTGAAGATCTGGTTCCAGAACCGCCGGTACAAGTGCAAGCGGCAGCGGCAGGATAGGAGCCTGGAGATGGCCGGTGGGCACGCGGCCACGCGGCCGAGGAGGGTAGCCGTGCCCGTGCTCGTCCGTGACGGCAAGCCGTGCCTGGGAGGAACCCACGCGCCCCCGTACAACGTCTCCGTCAGCTCGTACACCTATGGCAACTGCTACAACACGTACAATAGTTATAACAGTTACGGAAACGGCCCTTACGGTTGCAGCCTCAACGGCATGACCTCCCACATCCCGAACCCAATGGTGGACGTCAGTTTCTCCATGGCGACCGCGGATGGATCTCTAGGTCAGCAAGGACCGTTTCAGACCACGTTACCGGGGATCAGGGCCTGGTGAGATGAAAGACTATGGACCTCACACACACTGAGATTTGTGGTCAGACTGAGCTGGAGGGAGAGCTTCCCAACACAGGTGACCTTCATCACAGAGATCCTGAGTGATGTTCTCTCAACAGACACTGAAGAGCTTCAGATTTACATTCCCACATGAATGAAACTGCATCAGCACATAATACATGCATAAAACAGAACAATTAGGGCCATGAAATGAACACAGGCAACGTGCACTTAAAAAGATGGTTCTTTAGGGGTTCTTTAGTAACGGGGTTGGTTCTGCTTAGAACCATGAACACTCAAAGAATCATTTCTGTGCTTAAATGGTTCTCTGCATGGTGAAATGGTTCTTCAGATCGATGGAAAGTGTATATAGCAGTGTAAAGTGTATATTCTGTATATGGTTCTATATAGCAGAACCCTATTTGAAAATAGTTCTGTGTAGCACCAAAAAGAGTGCTGCTATTAATACAAGCTTGACATCATATCAATAGCAGAACCCTTTTTGGTGCTACACAGAACCATTTTCAAAAAGATTCTACATAGAACCAAAAAGGTTTCTTCTACTGTTATGATGTCAAGTTTGTATCAGTAGCAGAAAACGTTGGGTGCTACATAGAACCACTTTCAAATATGGTTCTATACAGAACCAAAAAGGGTTTTTCTATTGTTACAATGTCAAGCTTGTAACAACAGAAGAATCCTTTTTGGTGCTATATCGAACCATTTTCAAAAAGGTTCTACATAAAAAACAAAAAGCATTCTCCTATTCTTAAGATGTCAAGCTTGTAACAATAGAAGAACCCTTTCTGGTGCTATGTGGAACCATTTTCAGATAGGGTTCTGCTATTATTACAAGCCTGACATCAGAAGAATAGATGAAACCTTTTTGGTGCTACATAGAACCATTTTCAGAAACATTCTAGATATAACCATACACAACACATTCTCCATCAATTTGAAGAACCATGCTTAAATGGTTCTTTGCATGATGAAATGGATGTTCAGATTCATGGAGAATGTGTAGTATATGGTTCTATATAGAATATTTTTGAAAATGGTTCCATATAGAACCATGAGTTCTAAATAGAACCACTGGCTTTCCTAAGAGTGTAAAATGAAAGACATTCTCTATTTGTATGAAAACAATGTGTTTATTCCAATCATGTCAGTTCAAAGCAGTATTTTTTATCGTGCACTCAGAGAGGAATTCTACTCATATTTCAAAACTGATGCAGAACTTTTTCATTGAGACGTAAAACAAACCCATGCAGAGCAGTTGGTGTGGAATTGTGCAAACTCAAGAAACTTGCAGACTGAGATTTTACTTGAGATTTCTTTAGAGTGGTGGTGATGGGAACCAGGTGTCGCCATGTCTACAATGCAATGTACTACTATACTAATAAGTGGATCTACAAGTGTCCTCTGAGCTTTTATATGTAAAGTTGATGTCTGTATGATAGCGGTCAATCAGGAAAAAAAAAAACATTTTCTTTAATAACACACACATGCACATTTTAGGCCAAAGCCTGATCTCTAATCTATCACAAAACAATGTATCGAGCACCAGGCCAACCATTTCATGTAATATCTTTCTGTAAGGGAGCTTTTAGAGGCATTAAACACAGACGTCTGGTTCCTATCACCACCACTGTGAGCCGGTTTCCAGAATGGAGAATTTCACTGCAAACCCTGAATGACATAAAAATTCCTCTTTAAAAATAAAAGTCCTTGAATGATTCTTGGAACAGACCTTTATGAAACCATTGAGGTTCTTTAAAAGGTTCTCCACGCTCACACATCTCCATTTCAAATGGTTCTCCAACCCCTAAATGGCCAGGGCCCACTGACAGGCCCAAAGTTTTATTACACACTTTTATAACCTAAGAATAGCTCAACCTGTTTGCATTGAGGTCCCTGTAGTTACTTAATAATAAGCTTTGGAATATATTAAGTCTGAGATTTTAAGGGGTTAAAGAACTATCTGTTAAAAGGTTCTTGAGAGAACCAAAATTATTTTATGGCATCACTCTTAAAAAACCCTTTAGTCACCTTTATTTTGAGGAGTGCAGTGTGTATTCTAACAGATCTGTGTTTTCATGCTCCCAAACAAGCATTAAGCACATCATTCTTGAGAGCTTTTAAAGAAGCCTGTGCTCTTGGGTAAAAACTGTGCTCTCTCATCTCCACGCTGGTTTAATATCTGTACATTTTTGTGTATTACCACGTTTTGTATATGAATGTTTGAGAACAAAATAAAAAGATGTTTGTTAACTTTACAGACTCATTATTTTTGCTGGGGTTAATAAGTGCACCTGAAAACCAATGAGCTGCAGAGATTTAATGTATTTAATGTAAAGCACTTAAACTTCAAAAAAAAGGTTCTTCAAGGGTTCTTTAGTAAGAGAATGGTTCTATTTAGAATTATGAGTTCTATATAGAACCATTTCATGCTTAAATGGTTCTTTGCATGGTGAAATGGTTCTTTAGATTGGTGGAGAATGTGCTGAATATGGTTCTATATAGAACCTTTTTGAAAAAGTTCTATATAGCACCAAAAAGGGCTCTGCTATTGCTACAGGCTTGATATTGTTACAATACAGTCTTACAAAGATGGTTCTTTAAGGGTTCATTAGTAAATAGAACCATGAACAATCAAAGAACCCTTTGCATAATGAAAAGGTTCTTCAGACTGATGGCAAATGTGTTGTACATGGTTCTATAGAACCTTTTTGAAAAGGGTTCTATACAGAACCAAAAAGTGTTCTTCAATTGTTACGATGTCAAGCAAAAACCATCTATATAGAACCATATACAACATATTCTCCATCAACCTGAAGAACCATGCTTAAGAGGTTCTTTGTATGATAAGATGGTTTTTCAGACTGATGGAGAATATGTTGTATATGATTCTATATAGATGGGTTTGAAAATGGTTCTATATAGCACCAAAAATTGTTCTGCTATTGTTACAGGCTTGACATTGTTATAATGCACTTTTAAAAAGATGGTTCTTAAAGGGTTCATTAGTAAATAGAACCATGAACAATCAAAGAACCCTTTATATGAAAGAGTTCTTTGCATCATGAAAGCGTTCTTCAGACTGATGGAGATTGTGTTGTACAAGGATCTATACAGAACCTTTTTGAAAACGGTTTTATATAGAACCAAAAAGGTTATGATGTCAAGCTTGTACCAATAGAAGAACCCTTGTTGGTGCTATAGAACCATTTTCTAAAACCATCTATATAGAACCATATACAACACGTTTTCCATCAATCTGAAGAGACCATGCTTAAAATGTTCTTTGCATAATAAAATGGTTCTTCAGACTGATGGAGAATGTGTTGTATAAGGTTCTATACAGAACCTTTTTGAAAAGGATTCTATAAGGCACCAAAATGGGTTTTTCTATTGTTACCATTTTAAGCTTGTTACATTAAAAGAACACTTTCTGGTGCTATAAAGAACCATTTTTTCTATAGAACCCATGGTTCCAAATAAACCCACTGCCGTTACGTTGCCTTTAAGAGTTAAAGAACTCTTGAAGAACCATGTTTTTAAGAGCGTATAAATCGTGCATCATTAAAACGGTCAGTTCTGTTGAAATATGGCAGGACAGTCTTAGAGAAACGTGTATGAGTGGATTTCAGGCGAGGGAGACCACCACAGTGAGAGGCCACTCAGAGCTCGCTCTTGAGAGCAGCCCGCTGGACTTCCGTCCAGTTCTTCACCACAGCTGCGTCACCGCTGTGACTCGTCGACAGGCCGCGCGTGTGATGAGCGAATGACCGCTGCTCAGTGCTGAACACATTAACTCTGTTAAACTGGCTTTAAATACAGCAGCGATGAGGAGCGTAAAAGACCCTCTGAGAGCCGCTCTCTCCATTCAGACTATCAGCTTTCAGAGAACATCTGGAAAACGGTTAAACCAACATTCAGTATGATGTTCTAGACAAACTGTAAACAGGCAAATTGATACGGGATATAATCATCTGGACAAGCTATAAACTCTAAATAAATAAAATAAAAAAACGTATGTAATAAATACGAAAATGAATGAAACAAAATAAATAAATTAAGTGCAATTTAAAAAAGTGCAGTATTTAAAGCAGTAAACGTTTAAACCACATCCCAACAGAGTAATCAAAGCAGTACCTGTTTAAATTTACAATTTACATTTATTAATTATTTTACAAAATACAGAAAACTATTTAAACATTAAATATTTAAATACCTTTAAAACAAAGTAACAATCTAAGAAAAAACAATCTAAAAAAATTAACCATTTCCAAAATTAAGCAAACATTTAAGATTGAAAACCTAGACAAAAAGTAAATACGTAAAAACATTTTCAACAAAGTAATCAAAACAAACAATACATATTTAAATTAATTTACAAGAACTATTTAGGCATAAAATACGTATTTAAATTATTTTACAATAAATATTTAGGCAAACAATATATATTTAATAAATTAATCTACAATAACTATTTAGACAAACACTACATATTTAAATTAATTTACAATAACTATTTAGGCAATAATACATATTTCAATTAATTAACAATAATATTTTAGGCAAACGATATATAATTTAAAAATAATTTACAATACCTATTTCGACAAATAATACATATTTAAATAGATTTACATTTTTTAAATATTTACATTTATGATTAAATCAATTTACAGTGACAAAAAATAAATATCTAAATACACTTTTCAAAAATCTATAAAAAAAGTAAATATGTAAATACATTCATGGTTTTAAAAAGTCTAGACAAAAAGTAAACATTTAAATCATTAAAACAGATTTGCACTTTGCAATTTAATAGATTTAATAGATTTAAAAATATTTGTGATAAAATAATTTGGACAATTCTAATAAAATTCTCATAAAAAATTCTCATAAAAATAAGTCCAGAATTAATAACAAATAAAATCCATAAATGCTGAATTGAACTGCAATAATATTTCCCCTGTATGATAAAGTGAGGCACTTTATTACTCTCAGCCTGTTGGACTCTCTCCAGCTCGCGCTTTAAACAGCAACGCAGGACAATATTCACATTAATACGTCACTGAAGTGCAGCGCGCGGTTAAATGAGTGAAGAGCTGCTCTGCGGATGTTAATCACACATGAATGAGTCGCAGACTAACAGCGTTTTAGTGCTGATGGGGAGTATTTAAACACTGTCGGCTGGACAGCTTTACTGAGGCTAACACGTTATTACTCTATTATTACACTATGATTGTTATCTACCTTAACACCCACTCTCTCTCTCTCTCTCTCTCTCTCTCTCTCTCCCTCTCCCTCTCCCTCTCCCGCTGCTGGGCTCCTTCAGCCAGTTCAGTCGGTGTGAAGCAGTCAGCGATCTGAGTTAAAGCAGCGCTAATCAGAGCATCTTAATGCTGCGGAATGGGCGGCTCATTAGAGCGCATTAGCACTGAGAGATAAAGCAGCGGGCTGATAAGAGCTCTGGGC